ATTTTAGAAGACCGGAACGTATACTTCTACTTGAGTAATGAACGTGAATACTTTCAAAATCTCAGATTATTTTGCAGGCTATTTCTGTGGTGTATTATTGAACGCAAGGTAAGTATGAAAAAAAAACAAATATCTATGAGGTACTATCACGCTTTGTGATATAGTACCAGACTTAGGCCCAATTACGTGTTGCTCTCAATGCATATTTTCACATGCCTTTTTCTTTTCATTATGATGTTAGGCAGTTTGCAAACAATTTGAGCAATTTTGTACTTGAACCCCAGCAAGTAAAATGTATATATCCAACAGAAATTAATCCTCACTGAAAAAAAAAAAACGTGTTGACATACTGTACTTACTGCTTGGACTCACTGTGGCAAACTTCCAACGTAGGGTCATTGTAAATGAAAGGAGCTTCAAGATCATTGATTCGAACCCTGTAGATACGGCATTGTTTACTGTTCAACTTGATCCTGTTAAGGTTGGCTACTGTAGGGATTATGGTCAGCTCAACATAGCCCTGAGTGATTAAAAAGAAAAAAAGAGGAAGAACAAAAAAACATTTAATTTAGTCAGGGGGAAAAAAACAGCACAGACTAATGTCCGGAAAATACAGTAATTGATGTTACTAAAATATTACAACACAGCTCTTATTATGATGCAGTACAGTTTGACACCACTGCAAACTACAATCAAAATGATTGTAATAAACGATGTTTAATAAATGCCGCTCTGATAGTATCAGTGAAAATTGGGGAAAATCATTATACTATGCAAGTATTCATGATGTTGCAGTCTGGATGTGGTACAAGTTTAGCCTTGTTGAGGTTTATACTCACAATTACAGATTTTCTCTGGAAGTTGATATTGTTGATGCACACAACCTGGTGGGTCGTAAAAGAAAATGCATAATGACATTACATAACTTTATACAAATAAAATACAATATATCGTGGTGTTTTCTAGTCATCTAATGGGAATAGTAATACATTTGTAAGCAACATTTTAACTCTCGTTAATCTATGCATGCGAACAAAGTTAAGATACTTATAATTTAAAAGGCCGTGGACTCTCAAATCCTTTATCCCTTTTTCTGTTCATCTTCGTTTCGTTGTCAGCTCAACCGCGTCTCATCACTGGAGTCGTCTTGGTGGCTCGTACGGTGCAATAAATCTCTTCTAGATCAGGGCAAACAAAGCTCCTAAGAAACACAACGAGATAAAAAGTGATTCGACTCCACGCTCAGCATTAAGTGACCGCTCGATGCACATATATACTTGTTGGACCCACTCGGAATTGTTCAGAGATCACGACTCCAAGTGGATTTGCTCCATTCACGATAAACGCGTCCAGGCATTTATGTCAGCAACAACTTGCAAAAGTGAATTACAGCCAAAGAGTTCTCTATAATCTTAGAATCGCGACTGCAAAACTCCATCGTTTTACGCCATTTTAATTTTTCGGTCTCTAGCGCGAAAAAAAAGACTATTCTTTGCAAAAACTGCGCTTTCCTACTTGCAGCATTTCTGTAAACAATGTGAATCTCTCGACGACAACAAGATACAACAAGATGCAATAAGGTTTATTCCAAGACGATGGAGATGAGCCTTCAGCAGCGGAAGTCGTACGGCATCCCAATTGGGACAAAATAAGCCGCGAGACAAGCTGTATTCGTAAAAAGTAAGGCAATAGTAATGGAAAGAATACTATTTATTATGTTGGAATGGTTACTCCCATAGTGCCCATGAATATTTTACGACGCTCATACTTTATGAAATTTTTCTATTATTTTTGTTCCTATTGTTGCTGTTATTTTCTTCTTCTTCTTCTTCTTCTTCTTCTTCTTCTTCTTCTTCTTCTCCTTCTTCTCCTTCTTCTCCTTCTTCTCCTACTCTTCCTTCTTCTTCTTCGAGCAATATACAGTTTAGCCGCCATCTTGAACCGGGAGTCTCGCCCTTCCAATTCATTTATTTTTATTGAGACTTTAGCCTTCAGTACACTTCCGTGAACAAATAAATCATAATCCACAGAATTTTTAAAGTGTTTATTTTTATGGCTGCTTGGCTCGAAACATTGAATCAATATTTAATTAATGAAATGGTTATATAATTAATCAGACATCCCCTCTCATAATTGCATGTCTGGTGTTGATTAATAAAAAATAAGTACATTATTCGGTGTCAAAAGAGGTAAAGAAAAATTCGAAGAATGAGCTAGCCGGGGACTCCCGGTTCAAGATGGCGACTACGTCTTCACGTCCTCAATCGGCCAAGGATTTTATGCTTTTTTCGCAAATGGAAGATGATACTCCCTCTAGTGGTTATTTAAGTCAATGACGCCAGCTCGCTGAATTAGCCACGCCAACCGACCTGCCAACGTGGGGGCGACGTTCCCATCAAAACCAATGCTTGGAGATTGATATTCAAGTGTCCGGTTTCTGGAGAGAAAATCATACATGCAAAATTGAACCGGAACTGAAAATGAATTAACTTTCATTACAGTGTATGTCAGCAAGGAGGAATGGCCGAATAATATAATATTATTGTTATATATTAATATAGTTTGAAATATTTATAATTTATCCGTAAAGTTATTTGTTTGCTTTCACAAGAGAGTACTGAGTTTTGACTTTAACCTTTGAGGTCTGCATAACAAATATTCACAAAATTTCAGCTCTGTTTTTGTTGTTGTTGTTGTTTTGTAAAATCAATTTAGCCTGGCTTCGAGACAGGAGAGTAAAGTTTGTGCTATGAACAATGCGGATTTAAGAAATAAAAACTGTTTATAAAAAAAAGAAAACCAAATTGTTCATTCAATTACATTGTCATATTTTTCTTATTTAATATTGTCATATGTTTATTCTTAAATAAATGTTGAATAAAGCCCTTGCTTCAGGTCCCCAGCATTAACCTGCAAAAAAAAAATGGTTTATAAAAAAGAAAACCAAATTGTTCATTCAATTATATTGTCATATTTTTACTGTTAAATAAATGTTCAATAAAACCCTTGCTTCAGTTCCCGAGCATAACCTGCAAAAAAATTAGAAAGTTGCCCCTCAAAAGAAGTCATTGATTTGCAAAACTCTCCATAAAGAAAAAAAAATTGGAGGGGGGGGGGGTTGTGAAATGTCATTTCCAGTTTCCTTGTAATTTTCGGCATTGGGTGCAGCCGTATGCAGCCCAGTATGCCGGCATCCTTTGATCTTGGCTTTCTTGTCGTCCACGCATGAAAGCACTAACCCAAGTGCCCCTACTAGCTTATATAGGTACACAGTCCAAAATTTACGGGCTGTTCTTCTTCTTCTATGGCAGGGGGCATCTAACGTTTAAAAGGCATTATCAAAATTTACTGTGCTGGAGTGTGGGTCGGAGTTTGTTACTCTATAAAAAAAGAACAAAACAGAGCACAACCTAAATCCTCTTTACTATTCCCATCTTCTTTACAAACTGAAACAACGCTTTGAACTTAATATTGTCAATCATACAATATCCCCTCCATTTCCTGATTTCGTCCTGCAGTTTTGCTTCTTATCTGGAGGGTAAGTTGAGAAGAAAAAAATTTGACATGCTAGAAAAAAACAAAAAACTGCTATTTTGGAATCTAAATGTAGTTTTATTCAACATAAAAAATTAACTCAACAGATTTTTTTTCCCTCAAATTGTTCCTGAGTGCAATCAGTACCAACAAACATTACAAAAGTCAAGTACCATTAACAGTGTGCTTTATTACCGGCTTTATCCACGGGAGACCATTCCTGACATTTAAGGCTTTCCAAAATTACACAAAGGGGCACCTCCCAGACCCTTGTCAGCAGCAACAACTCTCTGACTTCTAATATTGTTCAGCATGTGGCTCACATCTAAGCACCCTTGGTGGGCAATACACCACATCACGTCCAAAACTCAATCGACTGTGTTAACAAGGTTAGAGACCTAAAGCTGGACAAAATAAAATGATGTCTTCATTCGATCTTACCTCTTTTGTTCCCTTGAATCAAACCCAGGATGCAGTGGAACCCATGAAGCAATGAATTTTACTTGGTCACAGCCTCCTAGACAGATCCACATAAAGGAGTCACACTTAACGGATTAATCAACAGCCAATTGGTCAAATCAACCAACAACTACTTTGACAATTGATTGATGATTTTGAGCCACCGCTTAACTTAAAATTGTTCAAATCCTTTGATTTCAGCCTTCCAACAGGAAATATCCTCTGATTTCTTTAGTCCTTCATGAAAGCAGATTATCCCTTGTGTTCCAAAAGTAAGACATTTGCAAACACCTGCATTTACTTTGGAATACAGTGATTTGATTTGACCTTATTTTTTGACATAGGGGCCAAACCAGCATCTGAGTCGTAATCAATTTAGGGAAGAAATAATAGTCAGTTTAATTGGTGATGTACACACACACACACACACACACACACAGTATATGATATTGTTTATTCATTAAACATTCATTGTGGGGAAAAAAAAGATTTTTCAATGAACCTTCAAGCAAAAGCAAAATGCAATTGTGTCTGATTATTTAATTAATTGATGGAATGATTGATGGAATGAACAATTCTAAAAATAGTCAATTGTGACAGCCCTAGCAGATACTGGATGCCACTAGCAGGGATTTAACGTCACATATTCTCAATATGTTTTTCCAGACAAAAACGTGGTTGCGGTATGGATTCCCGGATACACAACGTGGACTTCAAGTCTCTCAAGCAACAGGGAAGGAGAAGTCATTTGCTTTGAACACTTTCACCTTCTAACAAACATAGATAGACCACTGTGAGCTGCTTGGAAATCGGACAACAGGAATGTGCTAATCCATCATGTTGTTTTTGTTCCGGCTGAACCCTGGTGTGAATTCTTGTCGCAGGATCAATAGAGTAAACCTCTGCTCTTGTGCATGCCAGCCAAAAGAATAATTAGTCAGCTCTCTTGGCGCTGTCAGGGAAATGTTGGACTTGAGTTTTATGTGAGGTGTGTGTGGGGTGGGGGGAAGAAGCGATATAAATTTGTCCCAAAAAGCCAAGCGATCCAAACAGAAGCTGAGAACGATCCCGGATTTGACTTTGGCATTCAGAACATCCAAAGGTGAGTATGCTGTATTGCATAATGTGCTTGCATCGGTTTCTCAAATAAACAATTTTTTTAACAGGTAGAAGACACCGAAATAACACTGAATATACAGGAGTTCATTCAGTAAATTATCAACTTTTTTAAAAATTAAAATATGCGATTCCACCTATCTCACCAACAGATGAATTGTCCGAGGATACCCTTGATCTTGCTGCTTTTCTCCAGTGTTCATGGTTTCCAATACACCAACCTGGCAAACTATGTGGACAGCCATCAAGAAGAGTATGTCGAGGTACGGTGCCTTTTAAATTGTCCGTATCTTGAGAGTTACTCGTGTGACTCGTATGCTAAATTATTATTACATTATGCATTTTTAATGTATCGGATGCAACTCAAGCTCTTTCTGTGAAAGAGGAGTAACACATAGAGTAATAAATAATTATGTCTGACATTCATTTCTGAGGTAGAAACATTTCTTACAGTGATGGAATTCAATTCTACACCACAGCAAACTGTAACCACAGTATTACAAATTTTGAAAAGAATAATTCTCTTGATTGAATGCGTCAATCAAAACTGGTGTTGTTACATATAAACAGTTGTACATGACTTTCTGTCACAAATCTAATAATACGAGCTGTAATGTTTTGAGATAAACAATTCAGCACTTAACCCCTTCACCTCAAAAAAACTGCTGGCAATTAGAAAGAAGTTCCTGCACTGACTGACCTGTTCTGACTTAAATTATTATTAATTATAGAATAATGGGTGTAACTTCAAAAATCAAATGTAAAATAATCCCACTTTTGAGATCTGGCGTTTCCCAGGCCGCTTGAAATTGCAGGGCTTGCGACACTGCTTGGACTTAGCACCAAATCCGGTGTGGAAAGAACACAACCCGTTGTCACATTGGCGACGGGCCAACCAGGCGTCCCAGTTGGAGGTACGCACGTGGACCAACTTTTGACGATTGGCCAAGAAAACCCTGTCCGCCCCCACGGCACGTTAGTTTCTGGTGGGAGAAGAGTGGGGAAAATTGCTCGTACAGTGCGCACCGACACTGAAAGCTGACGCAGGAATATATGTGGGAACAGGAATGAGGGAATCAGCCGAGTCCAGCACAGCCAGCGTCCTTCCGCCAATTCAGTTGGTCCGCCTTTACCGGTTCGGACAGTTGAAAGAGTCTCAAAAGTAATAACTTGAGCGCATTGTACTCGCAAATACTGTCACTGGTGGAGGCTCCAGCAGCGCAATCGCTCTGGCTGTCATGGAAGCATCCAAGTGTCATACTCTCACCACTCCCTTAAAGACAACATCATTGGATGAATGTGTCTTTTTTTTTGGCACACTGTTGTCATTTTCAAGAGGACGAATGCTTTTGTTGGTGGGAGATTATGTTTTAAGAATGACTGGCATATACTTGATGTATACGGTAGGCTCTACGGGAATGGGTAGCTGTTGAAAGTGACTCCAGCAACATCCTCAAGAGATCAGAGTTACACCGCATGATGGAGTTGACGGCAAAGAAGCTCCAGCAAATGGGAGGAAGTGTCAATTTAATCGACATTGGTAATCAAGAGGTGAGTTGACGTGTAAAAACAGACTGCCAGTGCCTTGGCAGAACGTACTCATGCATAGTGAGAACATGAAAACCGAGTTCCAAAGGCATAAAGCTCTAATGGGCCACAGTCCCCTAACTATATCCCCTTCCATGCACACACACACACACACACACACACACACACACACACACACACACACACACACACACACACACACACACACAGTAAATCTACTAGGTAAGACACTGATTACATGAGTCTATGGTGTTTTCTCGGGGTACCATCATTTTTGTCCAGGCCTGTTTCATGAGTTGTATTTTCATTTATTTTTTTAAATAATTCTATTGAACCACAATTCAAAAGCCAAGTCTAATTTTCATCCGTTAATTTTTCGGAACATATTCTTTCTTTTTTTTCATGATTTTTCTTTCATTAAGAGGACACACTTGTATTTCCTCATTAGAGTTGTGAGTGAGAGGATTTTGAGGCAGGATACACCCTGGACTTGTCACAAATCTCTGAGCACGTGCAGACAAACAGCCATCCACACTCACATCCGTTGACACTTTTGAGTCTTTAATGAAACTAACACTGAGAAACCCCATTGGGCATGGTGAGAACATACCAACTCCTCACAGGGATGCCAAGCCTGGAAAGCAAGACCTGCAACTGACATGCTAACCACTAACGAGTCCTGCCCTAAAATTTTGCACATAAAAATGACATGTCTGTTTGCATCCGCAGTTGCCTGATGGACAGATCATAATGTTGCCGAATGTTGTGACTGCTCAGTTTGGAAATGACTCCGACAAACGCACCGTGTGTATCTACGGCCATACAGATGTCCAACCAGCAAAGCTTGAGGATGGCTGGGCCACTGATCCGTTCAACCTAACTGAAATCAATGGTAATACCTATCGATGTTTTCTTTGTAAAATGTCATGCATAAAACAAATTGAAGTTTAAACCTCAATTCAGAATTCCTCTGTAAAAATGTCTGTACTATTCAAAGCTACTTTCTAACCTCTTAGCTCATTAACTAGTTGGCGTCTTGCCAGTCTGACTACACAAGATTCTAAATCATGCTCTGTTGTTTCTTTATTGCATACCTCCACCTACTGTACGTGTCTCGTCAATGCAGTCTACTCAAAACTGCTGTATTCACTCTTGCGAAGAGACACACGCAAGACATGGATATGGGTGGCGGTGGAGGTGTGGTGGGGGGCGTGTTGCCGTCAATCGTCAGCGAAATAGGCATCCGGCAGTGAAGGACAGAGACGCCCGTCAATACTTTAGTGATGATTACACTGACGGACGAAATTTTTACTTAAAAAATTTAAAGGCACAACACACTCAAGTACTAAAGTGTTTGCATGTATTTTCATTTCATCTCAGTTTCCCTTTCATAAACCCATTTTATTCATTTATTTTTCACATTCAGTTTTATTGTGTGTTTTATATTTTTCTTTATACTGTTAATTATCTAACAAAACATAATGGTGCTTTTTGGGTGTAACGGATCAGATTAATGCCATTTTTCATTCATTTCAAAAAGTTGAATTGGGATATTAATGTTCTGAGTGTCGTCTCAGAACAAATGAAGCCTGTAAGTCAAGGTGCTCCGGGACTGTTACAGCCTATACACATTTTACAAACACGATAAAAATAAATTCATCCATTTATGTCTTTTTGTATTTACAGGTAACCTGTATGGCAGAGGAGCATCAGACAACAAAGCTCCAGTTTTAGCTTGGATTCATGCTGTGGAGGCTTACAAGTCCCTTAATATGGTGTGAAAGTGTCCACATTACCAATACCAAGATTGATTGAGCTTTTCTTTCAAAGATTTGTCTTGTGATGGGTCAACCTACAACCAAATTTTCTTCAAGAGGGGAACTTGTTCCTGGCACTCTTAATTGTCCTGAAAAGAATGACTCGGCCAAACTTTAGTATCATGCAATTTCTGAGTTTGTATCATGGCTCTACAGTCAAACCCCGAGGTGCATTTTAAAGTGTGGGTCGAGGATAAACATTTGAATCAGGAACATTCACATGCATCATTGTATTTATGATTCTAGATTTTATGCTTTTGCCAGAGCAAAATGAGAGACATTATAAAACGTGGATTTGACAGAAGGTATTAAGAGGAGAATTCTCCAAAAGGCAGTGATACCCCAGAAGAGGCTGAAGCTCCTCTAAGAGGACAGCACAAATACGTACGTTAATGTACGTATGCCGAGGTGTTTCTTGGGTGCAGCATTCTTGAAGCCAACCATGTGTGGAACAGGGTAATGGGGCAGCAAGGCACAGGCTGAGGAAAGCAGGTGGGTTGGAGGAGGCATGCAAGTGAATCTTGTGTACCTTGTTGCTCAGCGATTGGCTGGGATGGAGTAGTGGAGGTTAACAATCCAAATCCGAATCAAATCTAAGCCAGGTTGAAAACCAGTACCGTCATCAGGTTTCTATTGTCAACCGAACTTGTCCAAGATCCCAAAATGTAAACCCGAGTTCCAGTTTCAATCGTCAATAAACAAGACTTACAAATCAGGCCAGGAGGAAGGCAGAAGCAGTGGTCGGGAGAATAGGTAGAGTCACAGAAGAGGTTGGTCTAAATACAGGTTCAGGTTCAGGTTGGCTGGAGGGTTCTGGAAAGATGAGTAACAAACCGGTACTCAGGTGAAGAGCAGAGATGCTTATATAGAGCTTAGAAGTGGTGCGAACATTGAGGCTACAAACGAGGTGTCTCAAGCTGAGGCACAAGAAATGGCTCTCAGGAACTAGGGATACAAAGTCGCAGTGCTGCAACGAGAAGGGCAAACAGCTTGTGTCTAATGATTCAGCTCACAGCAGCATAACTTCAGGACTTAAATCAATAATGACAGTAATTAATGTGCAGCAAGGGCTGTCGAGAGGCTAACAGCTATGGACTGTTCTGGTGCTCCTTTGAGACCTGGCTCATTTTTTAAAATCTCCTCGTTCTCTGTTTTTTTAGGTGCACTCTTTTTTGAAGAAAAAAAAAGTTCCTTGGTTGAATGTTAAAAACTTGAATCAGGTCGAATTTTACTTTTACTTTCATTTGTGCATTCCAGGAATTACCAGTAAATGTGAAATTCATCTTTGAGGGCATGGAGGAAACAGGCTCCAATGGTCTTGATGCAATGATTCAGTCACACAGAGACACGTTCTTCTCCGATGTGGATTACATCATCATTTCTGACTGTGGTTGGCTCAGCAGAAAACCAGCTCTAACCTACGGCACTCGGGGCAACTGCTATTTCTTTGCCGAGGTTGTATAAGTGCGCATAGATTCATGAGCCAAACAACAAAAAAGCTATGCCTTATTCTGACCTCTTTTTCATTTGCAGGTTGAAGGCCCTAAGCAGGACTTGCATTCTGGTGTTTATGGAGGCACTGTAATAGAACCAATGACTGATATCATTGGCCTTCTGGGTGAGTGTGCATTTGGAAATGGAATGGAAAATCAAATTTCATTACCATTACACATGTTGCAAGTCCAGAGCAACGGAATTAATTTTCCAGTTTCAACCTCTCCAATACACATTAACAGACATTTAACAGGGAGGGGGGAGACAGAAACGGGAAGGTGATGGGTCCTCCAGCACCCCGATTTCTTAGATATGAAATGAAAAGGAACTCCCAAACTACGCTCTCATTGGAGGGGGAGGCTTGGGGTGATAGATTGTCTCTAAGTGTGCTTGTGAGCGTGGATAATTGTTTGTCTATGTGTGCCCTGCGATTGGCTGCTAACCAGTTCGGGGTGTCCCCCGCCTACTGCCCGAAGACAGCTGGGATAGGCTCCCGGACCCACGTGAGGATAAGAGGATTAGAAAAAGAATGCTTGGATGAGAAACATGTTCAACATTGCATGCGTATTGTTAATTGCAAATATGTGGTGGTGGGCTGTAAGGCAAAACCATTAAATCCAGATCCTCCACTCTGCAGATACTCTTATAAGCCCAAGTGGTAAGATCTTGATTCCTGGGATCAGGGAGGCCGTTGCTCCCTTATCTGATGAAGAATGGAAAATGTACCAAGATATCCAGTTTGATCTTGACAGCTACATGAGCAAGATTGGTGTCAGTCAGCTCATGTACAATAACAAGGTGGCAAATGTGAACAATTTGGCACATTTTTTTATGTCAAACAAGAAGACTGCTCCAAGAAAAGTGACTCTGCTTTCTGTAGGTGGACTTGTTGGCTCATAGGTGGCGCTATCCTACTGTCTCCATTCATGGCATTGAGGGAGCATTCTCCGACCCTGGCACTAAAACCGTCATTCCTGCAAAGGTTATTGCAAAATTCTCCATTAGACAAGTTCCTAATATGGAACCCGTGATGGTCAAGAAACAGGTGAGTCTTCTTTGTTAGATACGAAATAAATTCCACTCGTCAAGTAACATCTCATTTCCTTATCGATACATTGCTTAAGGTCACGGAGTACCTGCATTCAATGTTTGCCAAGAGGAGGAGTCCAAACAAACTAAAAGTCACAATGGTGATTGGAGCAAAGCCTTGGATAGCTGATATCCGAGACCTTCTCTATGAAGCCGGCAAAGCAGCTGTCAAGAGAGGTATTGTATTCTTTTGTTCCGTATCTCATGCAACACATCACTTGTAGAAAAAAACGCAAAATAAAATAAATACTAAGTTATGAGGAGACCATCAGGTTAGGTAGTTAGGTACAAGAGATTATCCACGAAGTAAAAAAAAAAAAAAAAAAAAAAGTTCCTGGCATGCACAACATATGCTGCACATATGCGTCATATAATGAAAGTATTTTCTTCTCTGTCCCATTTATACCTTAGTTTTCATAACAGAACTAAACACGAGGAGAACAGAGTGCAGATCCAATATGTGCTACATGCAGTGAACGCAGTGACAAAAACTAATCTCCCCCAGCGCCACGTAGACCAAATTCATTGAATATTTGCACAACACGCACACAGGGTCTGTTAATGATGCTGGATGTTCATGAGAATTTGACCCTTCTTTGACGCTAATACTGTTATAGCGAAAGCTAATCTGGAAATCCAACCAAACTCATTGCTGCTCTGCTTACCTTTGGATTTGAGAGTGTGTTTCAGACGCTGAAGTCCAATGGCTTTTGCTTGAAAATGGCAGATATTTGTCCAGCTTTGCTTCCAAATCATTCTGTAAATGTCCTGCCCTGCTCCATGACAATTAGCGAAATTCAGAACCGCTCAATCACAGATGTGAATCCATTTGACCTAAATGATTAGAAGCTTCGCAAGGCATAAAACTCAACAAATAGCATTTTCATTCCAAAATATTTGACACAGTTAGCACATTTTGCCACTTTAAATCGACACTGGTCAACGACTGAACTATTAGACACATTTTTTGACGGGGCGGCGGGGACACAGAAAAATCACTATTCACACATTCATTCACACCGAAGGACAACGGAGATCTCCAATTAACTTCACATTGGTCAATTAATTGGAGAGTTAACTGGCCTAAAAACATGCACGGTAAGTTACCATGCATGTTTTTCAGTCCAGTGTGGTCTCAGGTTCCACCATGTCGTCATAGGATAAGAAAAGATAAGAAAGCCCTTATTGTCTCACAATGGAGAAATTCGCAACGCCCTGGTGTTACGGCAGCCTATACTGTCTGTTCTATCAGTATTATTTGCATGCCAAGAAGTACAGAACTGATAAAAGTTGTCACCTGGAGCTCAAAATCAATACTAATCAGCAAAGTGTGATTAAATGAAGTGCGTTATGTGTATTTTTCTGTAATTAATTAATTAAAATGAATGCCTTTAGGTTCAGGCCTTCATGAAGATTCAGAAAGTTCAACATTGAGGTTTGATTCGTCTCAGCGATGAAACAAATATTCTCTGTATTTGAACCCATCCTAGGTGTGTTGAGAGTAATGCATTTTTTTTTGTAAATACCGCGGCATCCTTTCCATGATCTTTTTGCAGTTTTCAATACGGATCCTGATTTGATCCGTGAGGGTGGGACCATCCCGATCGCCAAAACCTTTCAAGATGTGACTGGAAAAAGTATCATCATGTTGCCTATCGGAGGTTTTGACGATGGTCTGCACTCGCAGAATGAGAAAATAAGCAGGTTTGTGTTCAACATCCTTCACATAGCACATTCATCACTATTTTTGACACTGGTACGAATGGGAAGAAGGCAGCGCTTCATATTTGTTTGCAATAGTGAAGAGGGGAAAAATGTCAAAAGTGAGCCGAGAGCCCGGTTTTATTTCTGACTGTAGTATCTTGGCTTCATTCAACCTTAAGTATTGTCACAGTTTATTAAAATGTAATAATGGGTCTTAACTGAGCGTTTATTTTTCATTTCTTTCCAGGTACAATTATATTGAGGGGACCAAGTTATTTATTGCATACTTGTATGAAGTGTCCCAGATTAAGAAGAGCAGCGTGTAAGACATTTGGCCAGCTTCAGTTTGTCAATAAATTGTATTTGTGTTCAGTCGACAAGGTCTCACGATCATTCTAATGGATCACATTTCCAAAAATGAGACCGTAATGGATTTCTGTCTTTTGAGCATGTTTGATTTTCTAACTACTTCTAATTTAGTGATTATAACAAATCAACTTGTTTGCAGGCATTTATGAAAATTCAAGACGATAATACTGTCAGGCTACTGTTGGCTATTAACTCCCACAAATATTTTGAATGTTGCAATCCAAGTAACTGAAAACAGTTGTGTGTTATGCTCACAAGTCTCCCGTAACCACACAGCCGCTCTGCTAATTGGAAAATCTTGTGTGTGGCACCGTACAAGATGCCGCACGACATACGGTTTCTTTTTTTACATGTAATAATTCTGTGTGCAATACTGTATATGGCAGATTGTGTTGAATTTGCCACTGAGGAATGATAGTATCATAAAATAAAACTACAAAAGAAATCGGTGTTTCAAAGTGTTTCTTTTAAATATAGAAAATATTAGCCACAGCATTTTTTTTTTTTTGTCAGAAACTGGGTTCCAAAGACAATCTCATGGGAGTTTGTCGGCGCGCACTCAGGGACATTCACTGTTTTTGCATCTTACAACCGGAGTTGAGGAGGAACAGCCGAGGACGATGACGATCGGTTGCCTCTGGATCCAGCAAAGTCAAAATCATCTGCAATGAGGGCACATTATTCAAAGAGAACTGAATTAGTCCGTATTTCCTTCCTCTCCCCGAGTCGTCACCTTACCGCGCTCGAAGAGTTTGTGTGTCGCACTGTTCCTACGTGCAACGTTTTAGGGGCTTTATTTCGCTGGTCAGGTTAATCAGCAGCAGCTTCTTGACTCAAATTCCAGTGTTGCGACAGCTGATCGGAGCTATGGCCATGTGGTCGGTGCCTGTCATGGCAGGAAGCGCTAAACCTTTTGCTGTCCACTGCCTTTGCCTCAGCTGGGTAAAGCAGTGCACCGTCAACACCATCTAAGGTGGGTATGCCGTGCTGCCGACCTGGTCTTGAGATATTGTGGGTCGGTGGAGAGAATACTTTGAACTCTTCAATTCCACCAACAAGCATCGCAATGAGAAAGCAAAGTCGAGAGCCTCAAAGCTGATTTGCCGTCACTGGGATTGTGTTCACAAACATGGTTAAAAAGCTGTTTGTGGCAGAGTGCTGGGGTGCGAGAGGTCAGAACAGAATTTCTTAAGTCTCTGGCTGCGTCCAGAATGTAGGTCCTCCAAAGGCCGCATTTTCAGCAACATGACGTCAGTTTCGGCGCTACTCAACCGCACGTGGTTTCCAAATTGGAGAATTCGCAGGCACGCAAAGGCTCCTCTTTGTGTAGCCTGCGTGGACTGCATGATCCGTGGCGAATTTGGACAAGCCTAATGTGAATTTGGACAACATGTGCGGTCGAGTCGTGCCGGAAGTAACATCATGCGGCCAAAAATGCAGCCTAGGGAGGATCCGGGCTATGAATTTGGACACAGCCTCTGTGTCTGCATTATCAGGTGGACATTGGGGACAGGGCATGCATCTGGATTGGCAGACCAAGATACTGGCCCCCCTTTAAAAAAATATATAATTGAGGGGTATGCTCCGAATGCAGGGAATCACACTCCTTGTCGTCCCTGTTATGGGGATTCTGGAGTTGATGCTCTGTCAGGAAGTCGGATGTCAGATTCAGGAGGAGCAGTGTGTTTTTTTTTGTCCTGGCCGTATGGACCAGCTCTATACCCTCAACAGGGCCCTGCAGGTTTCTCATCTTTGCTTCCCAGGTAAGGCGCAGCATGGTTAATTTCACATGTACATGCAGGGCAAAAGACTCACGCCCATATTGAAGCACGTGTGGAAAAAGCTGAGACACGTAGGCCGTGTGGTCCAATTGAGTTCATTTCGCAGTGCAGAGTTTCAAATTACTTACACATAGCGTGAAGCTTCGCCACATTTTCTGAGCATGTCAGAGACTTGTGAAATTGGAACTGCATAGATGACAACACACAACGTCACTTGTGAAATGTTCAAAGCTTATTTCTGGCAGTGAACTCATTCACTGTGCAAATGTGCTTATGGATATTCTCATTTATCCAGCTCATGTCATTCTCAGGGGATTGAATCGGTCGCAACTGGACTGCTCTGTTTGTCTTAGAAAATGTTTTGCCTCTAAATGAGTAAGCGTCATCAGTTCATGCAACAAGATTTGGTTAGAACTGCACCGGCCGAAGTTGGTGTGGGAAAGCACGACTCTTTATGCTCCATGTTGGAGGCATGACCCGACCACGAATTGAATCATTCACTATGTCACAATGACGCTCTACTCAGCGCAATGATGGTGATAAATTCTTCATTTCTGGCTGCATGGTTTGAATCTGAGTGCTCGTGCCGGTCAGGCTTACTTGTAGTTGGACCACTTAGACACTCGGGAGCTATCATGTTTTTTCTTGTTGTCCCGGACGCTGATTATCTTTATTGGAATTTTCTTGTTGCTCTCTATTTTTTTTTTCTCTCTTTGTTGCTCAATTCATTGTTTTTTTTTTTTTTTGTTTGTTTGTTTTCTTAAAACGAGTTTGAACAGATCTTCAAATTGGTCTGGGGGGAGTTCTGAGCTGAATGGTCTTCTACCTCTCTCCAAATAAAAACAACAACAAACGAATAAAAAAAATCACAAACAATTTCACGTCAAAACTGTTTGGACTTAAAATGCTTTTCCGCATAAAAGTATGGTTCCCTTGAAATGTTACACATATGTGCGACACATGCTCTACGATACAGGCCTTGGACCAGCAGAGCAACAGCGGTCACCAAGAAGCTCCCAAGAACCACATAAGTAGCGTGCGGGCCATGTTTCCGAATTATAGTGAAAAAAAAAAAATCATGAACATGATCAGTGTCTTCTGATTAATAAATAAAGGTAATTTGAGCAAAAGTTTTATTTCCTCAGCGAGTATCGAACTTGTAACCCTCAACATTAATCAGTGGCCAAGAAGTAGCACTCAATTTTCAAAAGGTTGGTGACCACTGTTGTCGAATTGCCAATCATTATGAATCAATATAGTTGTTTCCTGGCATGATTAAGAAAAAGAAATAAATGGAGGCATGTTGGGATAAAACCGGTTTGGTGAATTTTCTGTTTAGATCAGAGAAAAAAAGAATATATTTAATGGGTTAAAAGAACATTAAGTCTTGATGCTTTGTGTATGAACATTCCACCTGTCGTCAACTGGAATGACATGTACATTACGGATACCAGTGTGCTTAAAAACTTTACATCTTGAAGTATAGTTTTTCCTCTTTGAATAGTCCATCCTGACACACAAAAAAGGAAAAAAAAAACATATATACATCATAGAAATTGGATCTCAATAGATGGCATGTCATTACAATAGACATATTAACTTGCGCTGGTCAATCATTTCATGGTAATGGAAAAAAAAACTACAGAACAGCGCTGAGGAAAAACAAAATAAATCTAGAATTTTCAAGTAGATCAGTTACATCCATATACATATATATCTGCTGAACAAATACTTTAAAAAAATGATTGATCATTGCATTTTAGATTACGGTGACCATGCAGAGTGTCAACATATTGTAGCTATACTGCAAAATCATTCGTTCAATAAACCTTAGGACAAGCAGCAGCTAAATGAAATGGCTGTTGAATATTGCATTACCTGTGACAGAAGCAAACAGACTAAAGAGGACCTTAAGAGTTAACGTCTACAAAGAATCACTGAACGGAAAACTGCTTGCGTGACAATGGAGGGTGACTAAAATTGAAATCAACAGATTGCTTTTTAACACAAATACACTATGCCAGATAAGTTTGAAAAAAAAAAAGCAGACATGCCATCAGAATAATAAAGCATAAAAGCATTTCCATTTTTATTGTGATACCATTGAATTCAGCCAAATGTCATGAGTCTGTTCAAAAGAAAAAAAAAAAGATTTATACCAAACAACAAAACAAAACAAAATAACCCACCTTATCTAAAGGCACTGAGTTGTAATCCTCCTTTACGAATTGAGAACATACTTCGCCAAACGAAAACAAATAGCTTCGGGTGTTTGACACACAAACCGTCATCAGATCTGAAGTGTGATGTTTTTCACAAGCAGCATGCAAACTAACCCAGTAAGAGTTTGATGCATGCTCTGATGAGCCTCATCAGTGTTGCGCAAAATGCAAAAAGCAATAATTTGATTTCGAGAATTCACTCACACATTCTTTGCAACTTTGGTGTGCAAAGGCGGAAGGCCAACTACAGTCATTTTCACATTTTTACCATCCTGGATGTCCCTCTTCACAGCCGCTTGATAGGAACATATCAATAAAAAACAGTGCTATTTGGAACTGACCTAAGTTCCTAATATTTTGTGGTTTATATTTATACAGACCTGCCAAAATGTGAGGTAAAAAAATCTGTTTTTTTTTCTGTGTCCGTCATATTTCTATACTAGTCTTATGAAGTATCACTGTTACGTATTGAGCTTTAGAATATGTGCTTTTGATACATCTCAAAGTCAATTATCTGTATGCAGACATGGGTTCTTCTTCGTTGTTTGTTTTTTTTTAATCTGTTAGGGCAACAGAAAGGTTATCAGTGCGACAGTATGCCAAATGGCAATCTGCAAAATCACTTGTGACAGGAAAAAAAAAAGCCACACATGATATTTGGAATGCTCATTTTGCATGTTGTTGTCATCAATCTGATGTCCATTTGAGTGCACTGTTCACACTGTTTATAAGAAAGGTTGATTTACAATAAATGGGATGCACAGTAACGTGCGTCATCTAGAGCACATCCATTTATATTTCCAGTTTGATGAATGTTTACAGGCACCGTGTAACAGCATCTGGAAGTCTTTAGAGAGGACAGTTGAGATTTGAAGAGGATATTTTCCACAGGATCTAAAGCATCTGATTGTTTTCTTATGTGCCGACCAGCTTAACATCCTGCCTGCTCTATAAAACGCGTATTTAAAAGAAATCATGCTAAACGCTTGCCAAAAGACACATGTGCACATTGTATTAAGTTTGTCCATAACTGACACTTATTTACATTTTATTTCTTCTGAAAAAGTTCATTAACTTACCAACAACTGCACAGGACTGTGCAGCGTATGTGGACAGCGAAGAGCCAAACATTCAGAATGTTAAGACTATTGCAAAAGGATGGGTTCAAAAATGAAAACTCTTTGCAAATAAATGAAGAAGGACCAAACATATTCTGTATTGACAGCCAATTAAAAAAAAAAAAAATTCACCATTACAAGAGTGTTCATAAACCACCTTCTGCAGATTCATTTGTCCAGACCACACACACACACACACACACACACACACACACACACACACACACGTACATCTGTAAAAAATAAGACTAAAAAAAAAAAAAACAAAAACAAAATCACTTTCTGTTCTGGCTGCAATGCTGAGTTAAGTCTTGTCTTTACACGCCTCCGACAGTAGAGGGTGGTGACATCATCTCACAGTTAAAAGTAAAGCCAACAACGGAGAAGTCCAGCACCCACAAAGGCCACTCCCAGTTGGATGAGTGCAAAACAAAAAGAGACAATCAACACAAGCCAAGAGAAGTTCCAACGAGACTCCAGTTCTCAAAGAGCAGAGTGGTCCACACGTGAGAGGGTTCATTGTCCTGCTGATTGTCCACATGAGAGCGACAGCTTTCACTTGAGCTGCGAGATTCCAAATCTTGGAGGGTCATCCAGTCCCCAGCTTAACAACGACCAGTTTTTGCAAAAGCAACGGCGTAAATGGCAGTGTTCATGTTCATCCTCTCTCTGCTCTTGACTACGCAACTCTGCGTGCAATTCGGTAACATTCAAACACACCCCAAAAGGAAGCCGATGAATCAGCAGTATCTGGCAGACTTGCATCCACAATAATAACAGGGAAAAAAAGAGCAATGAAATACCAGTCAATTCACAAACCTCTTAGAAGAATCAACCGATATTAACATTCGCTCTGCTTTGGGCAGAGTCAGGTAAAGTGAAAGGGGGAGGGGGCCTGGGTTGGGAGGGGAGGGGGTTTTCAGGGGCTGCGATTGCAGGCCCAGTGGGTCGGGTCATGGGAGGGGTCATAAGGCCACAACGGTGCATGGGTGTTTGAGTTTACAAGGCAGCACTCCTCTGTTGAGCTGATAGAACTCCACCAACTGGATCAAGTCGGTGAATTTGGTGGCACCATCGTCAAGGCTGAAGAAGACTTGTCCGTCTTCTTCACACTGATGAGCAGGCGGGGGAGTTAGAGCACAGCATTGGAGAAAGAAAGTAAAAAGTCAAACTATGAGCTTCCATAATTATATCATCGTCAGAAGAAATGCAAATGCAGTCAGTCGTGCACAGCTTGCATGCATTGTATTTAGTGTGTATTGACTGACACAACAAAAGTGAGTATGCCCCGAAATGAAAATGCCCACATTAGGCCCAAATAGCCATTTTTCCTCCCAGTGTCACGTGACTTGTGAGTGTGACAAGGTCTTAGATGTGACTGGGGGGCAAGTATGTGAAATTTTGTGTTCTTGCTGTAACATGCTCATACTGGAACTTACTGAACTCAGAGGATCTGACAGATAGCTAGCAAGCTAGGTAGCTAGGTAGCTAGGTAGCTAGCTAGCTAGCTAGCTAGATAGATAGATAGATAGATAGATAGATAGATTGGTTGATTGATTGATTTTGGTCTTCATAAAGATGGCCTGGACCAGAAGAAGATTGCTAGCCAGCTCAGTGGGCCATTTTGGACATTTTCACTTTGTTGTCTCCTCACTTTTGTTGCCAGCAGTTTCAACATTAATGGCTGTATGTTGAGTTATTTTGAAGAGATCGTAAATTTACTGTGTCATTTCTACAGTGTTGTCGCATTAAAAGGTGCAACAATTTCTTTCCAAAATGTGATCCCTCAAATATTCAAATATTTTATATTAAGCCACTGCTATAAATATACATATTGACAAATGTGTATTTGCACACTTTGTTAAGCAATGAAGACATGCCGATCCAAAAATTGTTTAGATTTTGGGCTGTGCCCCAATTATCCCAGGTCACCACTTACTAGCCAGTGTACCATCAGAAATGTCTTTTTCTGTTTATGTTTTAAAAGAGAAGTCAGGTCAAACATTTTCTTTACAGTTGTATGTGAATTAAGCAAAAGCAAAAACAAAAACTCCCCCCCGCCCTCCAAGAAGGGCTGAGCTTGCGAACAACACCTGACCACACCCAGAAAACAGGTGGATTATAAACGGATGAATTCTTCATCTTAAATCATATTTCCCCAAAATATTAATCAGAATACCATGAGTTGACTAGTGGGGACTGAAGACTGTAACATGTGGTGGTGTGACCCGAGGAAGAAACCAGCCCTGGACATGTGCTGTTGAGTCGCCAAAGGAGCGAAGACTTGTTGAGTTTCCACAAACACTAGTTTATTCTTAACATGCTAACAGTCCCTCAGCTCCACCACATGCCACTTAAGAGCACAAATTAAAGAGGCGCCACTGTGTGGCGTGAAACCATACTATAATAATAGACTGCGACAAGACACGTGACAAGCTTCCCGAATATGCCATGTTTCGAACATTGACAATTGGTAATCCACCGAGAGCCATTTAAGGGACCAATCAAATCTAATCAGTATTGAGCACAGATCGCAAATGTGTTGAAAAATGCAAGCACGCCTACCGGTAATATCTGGAAATGTTTGATTTTCTGGTGATGGCACAACGTGAGCACGAAAGCCTTGGGGTTGCTCTGGCTGACTCGTAGCAGAAACAAGCTGGAAAATAAGAACATAGAGACGTTGCAGCGTGTCAAGTGAAAACCACCAAGGATGCTTTTCCTTCCTTACCCATCGACTTGACCCTGTTGGTGGACAATGCGATGGGATTCTTCTCTGGTTATTCTGCCATGGAACCACAGCTGGGCTATGTGGATGACTGAAGATGAGATTTGTGAATGTGAAATTGACGACATCGTTCCAAATATAAGTCCAATGTAAAAACATTGAATGTGCATCATTGCGTTCAGCTTTATATTTACCTGAGTTTAGTGAGGAGTGGTGCAATGGACTGTGGGAGCCTAAAATGTTCATTCGGTGATTCCTCTTCTGAGTCAGACGTCACAAAGAAATAAAACCAACAGGATTAGTTTTCGGATTCGGTGTAAACAACCGCTGCTCACCAAAAGAAATATAAAACACACCTTTTACCATGAACTTTCTTTGACAGTGACTGTCTCCATAAATGCAAAAACTAAAATCTAACCAAGATTAACTGTTTTAATATTGGCTTTTTACCGGGCAGTTTTTGTGAAACGTTTCCCTCTTACATACATATACAAATACAATAAATAAAAATAAAATGTAAATTCACTTGTTACTGAGGTACAGTTAGTACTGTATACCCTACAAGAAAAAAAAAATACCATAATTCTCTCGATGAGCGGTTCTCAAATCTTTTACACCAACTTCTGCCTTAAAACACTTAACTCTCCAAGGACACCGGAATGAGTAACATGAAAATATACAGTACAGGCGCTCCCCGATTTACGAACATTCATGTTACGAACAACGGTACATACGAACATTTTTGCGGGTACAGGTATGTCGAAAAATGTTCTCGGACAGAGATGCTATAAGTTAGATTTTGTATTGCGCGCCTTTTTCCGAGTACTGTAGTACTTCTTTCCGCCGCTAATACCGACGTGAGGCGCTGTGAGAGGAGGAGGAGGAGGAAACGCCTGTCCCCATGAAGAAGTTTGAGACGGAACTCTTGGCCGAGGGGTTTTCACTCATAGATAAAGCCATCGCACTCTTCGAGCAGCAAGACCCAAATATTGAACGTTGCACAAAGGTTGCAAATCAAATGAATGATGCCATACAGTGCTACTGCATCATTTATGATGAGAAAAAGAAGAAAACTGTGCAATCGTCCATCATCTCCTTAAGCGTTCGAGTACATCTTCCAAAAGTAAGTTAAACTTCATTTTATTATACTTATATAAACCTTAAACATACTTATATAAGCCTTAAACATACATTCCATACAAAATATAGCACTGAAGCAACTTACGAACGAATTCAGCAAACGAACGATCCTTCGGAACATAACTCGTTCGTTCGCTGGGGAGCGTCTGTAAATATATTCCTAAAAATTGCCTGAACTAATGAATGTGAGAGTAAAAGTTTAAACATGGACACTGCGCTCAAGCACACAGTTGAATAAAAATATTGGCAATAGGATAAAATAAATACATAAATAAAAATAAATAGGATTGAGGATTGTGCATAAAAGTGATCTTTTATGCACATGAAAAAGTGATCAGAAAAAGTATCTTACTTGAAAAGTCAAAACTGTACTGAACATGTTAAGCAAGAGAGGTACAGTACTTCTTCTGGATTAAAAAAAAGATCAAACAAGCTGCCTGCATAGCTGCCAGCTTTATTGTAACACGTCGGAATGTAGTTTATGTTTGAAATGTGGTGCATGTACATTCCAGTACAGTACAACGTTGTGTGGACGCTGTTGGAAAAAAAGAAGGGCTGGCCGAGACTCACCCTCCACGCGTGTCCTTCCTCCATGGCGGCGCTCTGCGCTTCCACTGGGTTGTCGATGACGCGGCCTATAGTTCCGGAAAAATCCATGGCCACCAGAGAGTTCTCGGATACACTTCGCTGAAGGGAGGGAAGGGCCACAAACGCGTTGCAGTCAAAATGAGGAGTGCGCGCTAAAGTGATGTGTCAGGATTTCAAAGTAATGGCATTAGGATTTAAGAGTTTATGAATGTCAGATTTTGGAGGCTTGAGCTCCTTCTGTAATGAGGCTAACATACCACGGGTGCTGAGAAGTGTGAAAGCAGGGTTTTTCTTTGCTGGGGAATCTTGTAATTCTGGTACAATATAATCCCATACTGCGAAGAAAGCAAAACACAATCGTCCTTATTGATGAGCGCACGTTTAAGGGGCAACTCTTTTGAGCAGCGTGATGTGGGCATGCATATCTGTCAAACTGCACTCATCAACTGACTCCCCACCGTGATCTCTTGCTCTCTGGTCATCTTAAATCATGAGCAAGACAAAAAGGAAGAGTGCATGATTCTTTTTTTTTTTTTTAAACAGATCATCAACACAACTTTTTGCCAACATTTCATATTTTTGCATTATATTTTCTTTCTACTGAGTTAGATAATAAAATGAATTCAATAGTTGCATCCTTATTAGTACTTAATGTCTACATCAAGATATTATAAAGGGCATTAGAATGCACTGTAGATGCCTTTCTAAATTTACAGATGTCAGGAGGAATGGCCATTTGACTAAATATGGGAAAATTAATGATCAAATTAGTGAATTGTAATATTGCTGATGCTTAAAGACTTTGTATGGGATTTGAGACAATCTCACTGAATGTTGTTGGTGGATAAAGCTTAACTTCCCATTGATCGTAAACTAGTAGAGGATGACTCAAAAGTGGCTTTGCTGCCTGTGGTCAAGTCGTGAAGAGAGATAGACCGATGATTACAGCTGATATTCGTCATTTTGAACAGTGGGTTCTCTCTCTCTTTCTTTTTTTTGTTTCTGTTTAAACTTCAGGAAGTAAATCAAAATGGAACGAAAGGACACTATCTCATGTTGTATTAAGATTGAATAGATGGGCGAAAGCACACACACACACACACACACACACACACACACACACACACACACACACACACACACACACACACACACACACACACGCACGCACGAACGCACACGCACACACACACACCAACAACAGTTGTACCTTAAACAATCTAAAGGCGGTCATCCAACATGTCCTGCCTTGTTCATCTTCAGCACACAGAATCCTTAAATCCTTTAACTCTCCTCTGCATTTATTGGGCTGTAGAGGAACACAGAATTAGAACAGTCTTTGAAATGTAAAGATTAACCCCCCACCCCACCACCAAAAAAAAAAAAAAAGAGCCCATTAAAAGCTGTTGTTCATATGACGTGGTATAAAACCAATTAAAAGCATTTTTGAAGATGAAGAGTCATCTGCAGCAGAATCTTATAAAGGCATGCATGGTAGAGCGGGAGAGTTCACCCAGAGGTGAATCGTTCCTCCGCTCCTAATATTTCACTCCAACTCCCTTTTGTTATCTGACACTCACCTTGATACAGAACTCGTAGTCTGTGGGTGCACCGTGCTGCTTTTTGCCTGTGATGACAGTGAAGATGTTACTGTCTTCAAGGTCTGCAAGTAAATGGAGATGTCTGGGCTCCTGAAGACACAAATAATTCTTTTTGTCAGATGATGACAGACAGAAACAGCCCGAAGTTACACAGAGATCGGCACAGAGGCACCGCTGAAACTAAAATGTGCTTTTGCATCATTATTAGCTTTCCAAAGTATTGTTTACTCTGCTTTAACTGCAGCAAGAACACACACATCCTTCAGGCAAATGCACTTTATTGATCGTCAAGCGATAATCCGAGTTAAAAATATTTGCGTCACCTTTGAGGTTCCTTTTGTAGAACAGTAGAGTCCTGAGCGCCGCAGGAACATGTAAACTTTCTTCCACGACTTTCGGCCCACCTCCTTGACATACAGATAACCCTGAATCTCGGGACAACTACTGGTTGCTAGAAAGTTCTGAAAGGAGAGGGAAACGGCGGTTACGGCATGGTTTCACCTCATCAATAAAGAGACTGATTCACTGTCATCAATCCGCCACAGATTTGATCCCAGATGCAAAGCCAAGCAGAAATGTCACACCAAGAGGCTTTCTGTCACACCCGACTGCGCAAATAAATGGCATCAGACAGCATCGACAACAGATGTGTCAAAGTCAAGACCCGAGGGCCAGATCCGGCCTGCCAGGTCATTGTATGTGGCCCGCGAATTATGTGTGTCAACTTGCTAAAATATGTACCAAAATGTCAAATTATCATGGGTAATAAATTGAGATTTTGCAATAATTTTGTTACCCTGTTTATATACCCTCACTTGAACAATAATTGAACAAACTTTTCTAATCGACTTGACTGATTTCAAAACTAGTAATCTATTAAATTGTTGCGTATAAGTAATAATTTTGTGGTTTCACTGTCATAACGGCCCTCCGAATTGGCCCATGACTAAAATGAGTTCCACACTCCTGATCTCCAGTTTGTACACTTCCTCAATATACACTTCCACATCATTTCGCCACAAAAGTCGTGAATGTTTTTTTCCCAGAGCCGTTCTGAGGACAAGTCGCCAGAGTGAGTCTTGGCATTGTCACCAACACCTGCTTGAGCTCGGAAAGCCACCACTGGAACGATGCGGTGTCTTGGGAAACTCCAAATGCTGAGGATTCCTGACAACTTTGGTTCACCACATGGGCTGGCTTTTATTGACTCGTATTCATGGAGCAAAAGAGAGCGGAGCGTCCGTATGATTAGCAGGGGACTTAAAAGCTTTCTGTGAGTGGCGTGGATGAACGGATGGTTTCCACTTGCGGTTGGGACTCTGACAGCTCCATTAAACGGCACGGAGACGAGCAAGACAGCTTTCGTCCGTTTCGACCGAGCTTTCCAAAAGGATCCCAAAGAATGCCAATTTCTCCATTTTCCTTTCCTGATCTGTCATGTCACGGTCGGTCTCCTGCGGGTTGCGCTAAGGCGAACAGCGTGAGTCACGTGGGAGTTTGCTCGGTGCAAACATACACACTATTTTTTGACTGCTGAGTTCCAGCTGTCACACATGTGGGGCGCCGCGTTGCGTGTGCCGATACAGTCATGTGTCAACACGGGATTAACAGTAGTTATTACTGCAGGTGCTGACGAGACACACTGACTCTGGGTCAGAGGTGAGGTATGTCAACTTCATTTTACAGTGTGCGATGACGACTTGCAGGTAAACTGAAATGGGGGAAGACAAGGAGAGTCTGACTGACATGATATACGGTGTGTCTGGGTCAGGGTTAGAATACTTTTGGACTTTTCATGTTCGTTTTTATTTCGTTTTGACTTTTTTAAAATTTGGTTTGTTTTAATTAGATTTTAGAGTTTTTTTTTAGTCTATTGGAGTTTATATTTTTGAAAATGGTTCATCTTAGTTTAGTTTTTATTAGTTTTAGCGTTAGTTTACATTATGGAATATTTGTTGGGTGCAGGATTGGGGGGGTCATTAAGTAATGTGTAAAGTGAACTACAGTTCTCAAATGACTGTTTGACCTTGCTTCTTCTACACGGACATGCAGTAATCCCGTAATAAATCCATTTAAAATAAACCCCAAAGGCTCATATAAGATATTAATTGACAAAAACGAAAGTCATGGACATTTTTTTCCACATTTTTCATAGTTTTAGTGAGCGTTACACTGTAAATATAAGATATACTGCACTTCCAGGTAGGTTTTGTTTTGTAAAAGCATTTTTTTGTTTTTTTATTTCAGTAACAAATTTTTTTGTCAATTTTAGTTGTAGTTATTCAATTAGTTTTAGTGAACTATAATGACCTTAGTGTGTGTGTGTGTGTGTGTGTGTGTGTGTGTGTGTGTGTGTGTGTGTGTGTGTGTGTGTGTGTGTATGCGTGCGTGCGTGCGTGTGTGTGCGTGCGCGCGCATGCACGTGCCTTCGCGTTTGCCTGAGTATAATACGCACCTGCAAGAGCTGCGATGGTGGGATGGGACGATTGGCTTCCTGGCACCACGCAATCATGTGTTCTGGGAAAAATGTCTAGTAAGAGAAAACAAACCGGTTTGTTTAAAAAAAAAAAAAAAGATCACTGTGACATGAGGAATGACATTACATTTCACCCCCCCCCAAAAAAAAAGCTCACAAACATGACTCTCATTCTATTACTGCAACATGGACAAACTAAAAAGAACACTCTCTTTCATTTCATCTCGGAAGCAAACGCACATTCACTCAAAATATGTCTGCATCGTTCTTTTAGATGATGTCAAGAACATAATGAGCTGTTACCATTTCAACAAGAGGTTGAGAGAGGACACGGCATGTGGAAGAAGTTGTCAGACAAAGTAATTACCTGGGGGGTTCTGAAGAATTCATATTTGGCGTAGTTCTTCCGAAAGAGGAATCTACCGTCGCTGATCATGGAAGCTTGGACCTGAACCACCAACTCATGGTCCTCGAGACAGCGCTCTGAGGGGCAGCGGAAACAACGTTGCATTACATTTGACATAACCTCTGCTTTTTTTGCTTGGCGGAGCTAATAAGCATTAAAACACACACAAAAAAATGATGACAGGGTTGACAGCAATTTCAGGAGGACATGCCAAAATAAATCCATTATGCAAATTGCTTATCAAAATCAGATTTATTGGCCACTTATTGTAAAACGCACAAGAAATTTACTGATTTTATGATGATTACTTTTTGAAATCAGATAGCTTGATGAGAACATCAAAACCATGTACGATTGATTTAGTATCATTTAACCACTTATACACATTAGTTAGCGAAGCAGTGTGTGGGACATTCTAAAAAAAAATCATGTACATCCAGCGAAAAAAACAAAATGGTCTAAAATGAAGGAAACACATTTTTAAAAGACTTGCCATTGTACTGGTATGCGTGCAAATGTTTGGCCACTCTTAATAAGCCCGCAGTGATTCATTATTCTGCTACATTTTCATGATGATTGAGTGGTACTGATAAGAACGCCAAAGGCACTTTAAAGTGATAATGAACAAACGGCGGGTTGAAAATTCTGCCCAACAGTAATTTCCTGTTACGTACATCCCCGTGAAACGTCTCACCACCGACCGATTCGTTGGATTTTGAAGAGATAGAATATAATAAATGTCTTTTATAGAAAGGAACTATGGCTTTAAGAGAATACTGGATCCATTCAAGTAAGAAAAATGGCATCTGGTTTGAGCCACTCGAGTTCTTCAAAGGAGTCGAGACAATATGATCCCGGCTGGCCTGTTCTTAATCATTGAGGTCAGATGAGCCGGCGATACTGCCAAAAGTGTGTCCCAATGTGAATGTGGTCTGAGGTCCTGGTGTCAACATGATTTGTGTCCACTGTGACAATGGCACCAGACGTGACTCAGTCCATTCCGGCAGACATGCAAGTTTCTCTCGAGGGAAGAAATACCTTTCCCAATTGAGTCAAATAAAAAAGTTGTCATTTAATTCACTTGAGCAGAACTAATACAGTATGTAGCCTCCTTGCCCTCATATGATGTTTTTACGGACTCTCTCTGGGAGGACTCTTCAAGGGTGTCACGACGCCTCTTTTAAATTTCCCTTCCATCCATGTCGCCTGCCTGATGAGTCACTCATGTTTGTGACACTGACTCACACTGGCAACATTACCCTCTGTCTCCTTCCTTATTAACCTTTCCGGGCTGACAAGTGAAGGTCGACATTACTTCTCAAAAGGGCCATTTCGCCCCATTCACTAATGTATGACTAGTAGGCAGCCATTGACGAGAACAGGACTCTCTGCTCTAACCGAGTATTGTCCGGGGTCATTCAAAGACCTCGACTGTGTCTCTGTTTCTATTCTGATCCACTTCTGAAAACGACGCGCACACGTTTAGTTAGGTTGGCGCGAAGTTGCAAGCACCACCAAACTGTCTCTGGTCAGCCCCTGCGATCAGACGGAAAAGACTTCTCTTGTTCATCATACAAAGTAAGCAGTGAATAGAGAGCATTTACATATTGACAATAGTCATTTAAATGTACCTCACCTCTTAACTTGTTCGCGTCAAACACTCACTGGTCATAACAATACATATGCCGACGCGGCCATCATACAAGTCTGCATTAAAAAAATAAAATAAAACAAACACAGGTCGCTCTCGGCCTGTGTTGATAAATCGACGATGAGTCTGACGTAAGTGACGTGGAAGAGGAAGCGGCGCATTGTCTACCTCCCGAGTTGGATTTAGTGATTTGGAGTGAATAGTGATAGTTTGGTAAACTTGTTAGCATGTTCTTTATGCTAGAGTTATCTGAATAACTCTTAATATGTTACGTCGTTACCGACATTACCAGGCATGTCAGTCATGAAACGTTAGTATACCGTACACTTATTCAGCCTGTTGTTTTAAATTGCCTTTCAAGATGACATGTATGTTTTTGGTGTTGGATTTTATCAATTAAATTTCCCCCCAAAATGCGACTTATACTCCAGTGCGACTTATATATATTTTTTCCTTCTTAATTATGCATTTTTTGGCTGGTGCGATTTATGATCCGGAGCGACGTATAATCCGAAAAATACGGTGTATATATATATATATATATATATACCTTTGTTTTGCATTATATGCATTACATTATACTGAATATTTCGTTACCTTAATTAGCTACAGTACAACGGTGAGAATATTTAAAACACTGCTACAAAGCACTACTGATTGAAATAAAATGACAATTATTTCAAGTAGCACAGTTCTACAAACTAACCAAAAAAAAAAAAAATCCTTGCGAAATACAGATATTCTGTGGGTTTTAGGACCATCGTGTGTGAAATATATTCCACGGGGAGAAATGTAATTCAAAACAGTTGACCTCAGATTTGGAATTTCAGTATGTCAAATAGTTATTAATTGGTTCTGCTCAAGTGCAAGTGGCAAAGGCATTGAACGTAAAATTAAGCTAATGTGACCCAGTAAAACAGGTTTATTGTCGGGTCCACTTGACTGACCTTGACTCAGCACATATTTGCATTTCCACGCTTGTCTTGAGGTGTCAATGTTGTCAAAGTAGTGAGCAGACAATACAATTTCAAGTCAGATAAGAATTCCTGTTTGTGTTTCAAAAGTGGCAGATTTTTTTTTTTTAAGCAGCACTTTTCTAATCCTTTTTTTATTTGACTGGATTATGATTATTTTATTTAGGAAGGATTTGGGGCATTCTATTGTCTATAATGATGAGTATGCACCGCTGCAAGGAATAGCATTGTCACAGCCAAGAGCATATATTCATCATTTTCTCATGCATTCCAGAAACACATGAAATAATGTTGGTACAGTTTCATTAACCCTTAAAATTGTCAAAATTGCAAGCGTTACGATTTCAGCCACTCTCCTGATTTCCTCCAGCTTCACTTTGTGAAGTCACCCTGAAAATGTGAATTTCAAGGTGACTTGGACGCCTTTTAACACGAAATACGAAACAGTACTGGGATCGATTCAGGTGGACACAGCTGGGCCAGACCATAGAAAGAAAAAGAAGCTGAGCCAACACATGATGTCATTCAAAACAAATAAAGTTAAATGTGTTTGGCAGCATCGTGCTGGCTGCCTGCACTGATGAGAAAAAGTAATCAGATCATGGATGATTGCAAAATAGAATTAAACTTGGATGATGCAATGTACTGTATATTCTTTCATAAGGATGTGCACATCTCGGAAAAATGTTATGATAATAGGCAGTGGCAAAATGTTAGCAGGCATGGTATTATGGAAAAAATGCTTTTACAGTTGGCATTGTGCTCTACATGAGATTAACCTCCCAAAAGCCCTTCTCTCACAATGTTTGAATTGTGGAGTCCCAGGCACAGAATGAGCTTGTGCTCCAGAAATGCTTTATAATCACTCTCCCCTGGGGCAACGCTGTGTTCCCTCACCCTCATTTTTATGCTTCAAAGTCCGAAACAAAGGCAACAGGTTCACACACCTTAATGAACCTCTGGAATAAACCATTTGTACCCTTTTTATAACTTATACATTGGAGTCAATGTGTGACTCAAGTACTGCACTGGGATGCTGTCTGTCCATCAATGAAGAACCTTACGGACAGAACAATGACGATATCACAAATGTGCAGTACCCAAAAACGGCTTTTTAGCAAAGTACAACGACTGTTTTCAGTTGAATTATATTTTAAGGTCTCAATACTTCCAATTTGGGAAGGCTTTCATGTGAACATTTTTTTTTTCTTGTTAAGCAAATTAATAGAATTGGGTGAAAAACATTACATGGGCACTAAGTGTGTTTGTCGACCGGGCCAAGGCTGTTAAGGTTACATTATAATGTTGATCAGCTCCAATTTATAATTCATCATGTTCACTTTTTAAAATTTGGAATCCTTCAGTGATATACGAGAAAATATAATCAGGCATTGTACAGAATTATTCCGGTACAGCCCAAAATGTTGCGTCCTGAACGACGGGCCTCACAGAGTTCTGAAGGATCGGAAAAAGGATTTATGGCATTCGCGACTTTTGCCAATGGGCAAATCTCAAAGTGACACCCACCAGTCTTCTTTTCTATACTTAAAAGTGGATTTGCCCAAGAATTTCTTCAGTTTGGAGAATTTCTTAAATTCCATTGACCAAATTTGGTGATTTTTGCTTCAATTAGCACCCTGCTGTAATTCCACCCAGATGGATGGATTGTCTTCATTTCCAGTCATTGCAATTTCAAGAAGCGTTGTAAAAGACCCATTCTTAAATCCGTCACACTCATTTTTTTTTTTTGCCTTTCTTTCTGAGCAGCCAAGTCAGACAGGTCTTTTAAAAATTGATGTCGTAGTGCATTTCCAAGCGGCACTTAATTGGCGACAGCGACTCTGACCTCAAGCACAATGTTAGCCCAAATGCTAATCAATATATAACATTAAACCTACATATTCCTTACAACGCCGAGTGCGGGCTCCTTTTAATTGTGTGCATGGAGCCCTTAAACTCATTCGATCGGCTCGCAGAACAGTATATCTGCACAATGCGTGCATACGCTGCATAGTAAGTGCATGCACTCACGCTTCACTACATGCCTGCGTGAGAATATGTTCCTAGCCTGCCTGTCTGCCCGAGTATGTTGGTATGCAAGCATGAATGCACCTGTGCGTGTGTCTGAATGCATCGCATATCTCGGCCCAGCCGAGAGATTTCTCCAGGGGCAAGCGTGAGGGTCTGCTCATATGTGTGCTTGTGTCTTTTGTGCAGGGTTCAGGCACTCACCTAGCCCCAGCAGCGGGTGGTGCTCAACAAGTGCCCAACTGTTGTCGTCTACACAATGGCTTTTATAAACCAGGAGCTGGCAAAGGTCCCTGGCCGTCATGTCGGCTGGGATCTCCACCACTTTGCCCATGCCGTCTTCGGTGGAGATCTTAACAATCTATGAGGAGGCAAAACAAAATATCAAAATATTACAATTTGAAGCAAATGTCACTGCTCAAGAATCATTATTCCTTTATTATTCAAAAACAGGACATTATTTCAAATTGACAGCATAGAAAATCCACAAACAAATGATTCAGTTGTCATGTTGGTCTGGAACGTCAGAAAATAGGAGGACATTTGGATAATTATTTTCCCCAAAGGAAAAGCAGCTGGTTAATCAATGGTCGAAGTTAATCAATGGTCACATTCACATAGAGCCTTGTATTCCAATTAGAATGCAACCAAATTACCAAATGGAATGAAAATACTTCATGTCACACATCACAGGGCAAATCAGTGTGTAATCTCTTCTTTTTTTTCAAATTTGTGCCATCAATGCAGTAGCACACATCGTTATTTTTGTGATGCCGATGAACAGAATGCAATGCATCAACACTCCACAGGTGTGTCATACGATCTAGCTAGCCACTCGGTTTCCAGAATGCCTTGTGTGGGGCAACATATTTAATTAATAATGTTATAAGGAGGACTTTCTTTTCTGCTACCAGTCGTCGAATGTGTGTCATATTTAAACGCTAACAATTATGTCACTGTTTGTTTTAAACAAAAAAATGTGACTTCAGGTTGTGTGTGAAATAATGGTATCCAGTCCAATTCCTTGTTTAAATTTGCTGTGCTTTGGGCATTGCTGGATTCAGATTCCTGACTTAGTTCAAGAAGTTAGCCCACCCGCATGACCTAAAATACTTTTGTAGATAACATACATTTCAATAAGTCAATGCGATACCATCGCTAATAGTCTGCATTTGTCATTATTTTAAAAAAATAATAAAATGTGAAATGTAGAACAATTGCCCACTAGAGTGATCGATTGGCTATTAAAGACTTTGATGATGTCCGATAATGATCGGCCAGCGATTGATCGGAGCATCCCTAAAGATGCAATTTATTTTCTTAAGCACAGGATTTATATTTATTATTGTATTATATACTTGTCAGAAACTTCATTAAGTTAAAAAAAAAACCCCCGCCAACCATCCATCCCTATTCAAAGACCGCTTATCCATATTATGGATAAACGGTCACGGGTAACCTGGAGCCTAGAAGCAGTGTACTAGATCCTGGACTGGTAGCCAGTTATCACAAGGAAGATATGGACAAACAACCACTCAAGTTTGCATTCACATTGGCAACATTGTGGCAAGAAGTCGCAGAACCTGAAGAAAATGAAAAGCAAGAGCCGAGATTCAAACCCAGAACCTCTCGACTGGAAGGGAGACGACTGTCTACTCCTCCGCGCTGCCACGTGCGAACTAGTGAGATCCAATACAAGAGTTCAACCAAAAAGTATGCATGAGGTCTCTGGATATTCTGTTACTCTCGTGTTGGTAATAATATAACCAAGGTATTAGAATCACCTCTTGCTATGTGCAGTGCATTTCCATGTGTCTAAACCTCCAAATGCCGTTAAACAAATTAGTGTCTCTCCGGGTTTTATGATGCATTGGTTCTCAGCTGACTGTTCAGGTGTCCAGGATAAGTATAATAAAAGAAAAAAACAGAGTATCACAATTCACACTGAACAAGAAAAAAATGGTTTATTAGTTGTATGCACAGCATATATAGCACTTAAGGATAAAGGGAAGTCATAAATCAATGCTTATTGCAGAAATACATGCAGGTATCCAGGAATAAAGAAAAGGATTATGGACACATATTTGATAATATTTTGCCAGTCCGCCTTATTACCAAGAGCTTCCCCCCCAACTGCCAGTTACAGGAAATGAAGCAGGGTGAGTAGTCCTAAATGAACCTCCAATAACTGCCCACAGGTTGGCTCAGCACAAGGAAACCATGCAGTCACAATCATCACATATTGAAAACTGGGGGAGCCTACTCAGCTTGTGGAGGAATCCAGCCACAAACCAGTTGACACAGATAACATACTATAAATTAAAAAAAAAAACAGGTTTAACAGTTTCCCGCCACTGGTCCCCCCCCCCCCCCCAAAAAAGACAAATTGTCGAGGGTCCTCCTTGAGTGGACACAAAGTCAATTTGTCAGCGCAGTCTAAGCGTAGCAGGACTTCCAAAGTGCAAAAAAGCAGGCTGCTAGAGAGGGCGAGACACAGATGGAGAGTGGTCTTACCTCCACGGCCCGCAATAGGCAGCAGTCCGGGGAACACGAAGGCATTTTTGGAAGGGGCCTGTCTGTCCACGCATACACACATTCACACTGGGACGGAAAATCCAGCTGTCACCTTCTCTCGTCCGGAAAGAGAAAGGCATATAATGCCAGCAAGTTGACAAGTAGTGCGGCCTGTCACATACCATGCACAATTCAATCTGCCAAGCCACCGGAGCTGCCAAGCAAACCAAAGAACTCAGTCCGCTTCAGCTCACGCAACAGACACAAGGAGTAGACGGCAGCAGGTAAAGTGTTGCGCTCGCAGTGCCGGCTGAGTCTGACAACTATCTTGCTTTACCTCTCTCTTCCCCCTCCCTCTGTCTCTCTCAAAAGGGTTACAGCCTCAGCCACCGGCTCCAAGGCGCAGTGAATCAAACCACACGCTCACCAACCAATCATAAGACACCAGCAGGCTGATGTAATCATTCCCACACAAACTCAGACGGTGAGCTGACACACACACACACACACACACACACACACACACACACACACACACACACACCATACAAACACACAGACGCAGTCATGGGCAGACTAACTTTTTCAGATGTCTTTCTAGCTGGGCCAGTGAGGAGGACAAGATAGAGTTTAAAAAGGAAAAAAAGTTTCACATTTTCTTGCCAGCAAAAGTTTTCAAGTGAGGGCTTGTTGGGGCTGACTGTTTTCTCGGCGTCTTTGCCCTCCTTTTTTTCTCCCACGATCCCTCCATCCTTCCCCGTGGCTTAACTTTGAACTCCGGAGTCAGATCTCGCAGCCACGCTCTGCACTAGCAAGACTCATTACAGAGCACATGAAATGATATAAACCTGGAGCAGCACTTGAGAACCCCAACCTTCATCTTCACCCCTTGTGGCTAGCTTCATGACCCCCGCGCCGCCACCCCAAAAAAAAAAGAACAAAAAGAAAAATATGGGAACATTTAAAAAATATATTATTTCCCCCGCCAAACTAAGATATTTATTACAGCATGAGCCGGACAAAATCCCTGTCACACCCCGTCTGGGCAAGGGGCAAGTAGTCTACGCTTACATATCGGCCTTGAAGCAACTTTTTTGTGTGTGTGTGTGTGTGTGTGTGTGTGTGTGTGTGAGGTGTGCTCCACGAGTAAGCGTTGTTTGGCATAAAGGATGAGGAAGTGGTGGTTGTGAAGAGATATAACTTCATTTACTGTATGAAGTGGACACTTCAGAAAGAGAAGGAGGGAAAAGGGGAGTCAGGAATTGGGGAGGGGAGAGAAAAAGGGAACGTGTTTGTGTGTGTGGGGGGGGGGGGGGGGGGGGGGGTAGACAGGGAAACGAGATGAGACGTAATGGCCAAAGAGTGGGAGGTAAAAGATGGTAGACAGTCACACTTTCTAATGACACAGTCCGGCAGAATGTGGAGCATGTATGCTTCCAATCACTGTCCCCATTTTCTTTTTCAAGATTTTTGGCGGGGGATTTGAGAAAAAAAAAGTCGAGTGAACTCAAAATTTCACGGCAGCAAGCTTAAAATTTGAAGTTGGACAAATCAACAAAATATTTTTAAGCTTTACTAACATCAAAACGGGCTTTACCGCATTTCCAACAAGGAAATAAGAGATTACAGATCTAATTGTCAAAGATATTGTCATCAAACTTAAACATAAAGGTCAAAACAATTCCGCAAATTGGTTTGGAGTGAAGAATTTGCTAGCTTTGTTGTGCTAACAGTGGTGCCATAAATATCAATAATTTATGTTTTAAAATTGTTCCAACTTCAATTACTGTTATAGACCCCAAAATACAAATTGTGTATTTGGTGTGTGTGTGTGTGTCTTTTGTTTGTTTTACGGTGTATGGTTAACTACATATTGCACAGCTGTGTGAAAACCAGAAACCCCCGACACCACACCTAGCTCACGTACCGCCCTCATCTGAATCATTCTTAGCCAGAAAGGGTAAGTCCCAAGAAGGCTGCAAGCACCATGTATGATGTCATACTGGTTTCAGTCAAAACCATTAACCGCTACGTACAGTACCTACGCTGAATGGCTTGAAACAATTCTGCAATACACAATGTCACAAAATTCTCATTGTGTTAAACAGTTTTTAAGACAGAAATGATATTTATAGTTTCTTTCAAAGAGGAATTCTCAGACTGTGAAACTGAATATGGATCCGATGTGTCTTTGGTATGTAAAGGATTGTCACTTAATGTCAGGTCTCAGGTCAAAATAATTGACCCAAGACCAAGATGGATTATGTCAATGTTAGAGAGCAAAACTACTGCGCCTCAAACAATGAAAGGGCGACCGTTGTGCAGCAACATCCAGCGGATTATAAGGAAACGCTGGCCATCTTCCGCTCCGACTGCGGTAAAAGGTGTTATGTTCTGCGTGGCATTAAATAAAGATGTTTCTGGGAGATTTTAATCCTTTATTCTGCTGCTCTGTCGGCTTCACTTGGCTTCCATTACCGACTGTTCTCTCAACCAATCCCCACATTCCTACAGAACCGTTTGGGCTACGGCAAGCGACGAGGGACAAGCATATCTTGCATTTTGAAATACAACAAAAACATTAACGACAAACACATCCAGCACAACCACATCACCAACATGGTCGAGGTGCCGCTCACTTTCGACATCCTGGTGAACTGCTCGATAGCAACACGAACAACTGAGTGCGTATAGTTGGCTTTGACGGGTGTGCGTTGTTGCCATGGTAACGGACAGAAACGGACAAAGTGAAGTTGCGAGCGCCAAAATTTCTGATTGGATTGCGGAAGCTTGGGCTAATGTGTCTGCTTGCGCTGTTGTTGGAGCTTTCGCAAAAGCCGACATTAT